TGTACTAAAAAAAAAAAAAGAAAGAAAAAAAATGAGGGTATGTTTAATGTACAACTTCTATATACATCACAGCCCATAGGCAGTAAAAAAAAAAAAAAAAACTTAAAAAATGCTGAAAGGAATTGTGAACGGTAACGTGGAAGGCCAGAGGACAGACGGCAGACATGAGCGCAGCGGGAGGGCGCAGTTTGCGTCGATGGTTGCCAGGTATGTATTTTCAATCGTGACTTAGAAAACGTCATTTTTGCTCCTAGCCAAACGAAACCATTTTCCTGCAGAGAGACCAGTATCATTTCATAGTCTGACTACTGACTGACACACCTCCTTGAGCCCCTATGCCTACATCTCTAGAGGTTTCTATTGCACAGAGCTTTGGGTCATGGGATACAGGTTTTTTTTTTTTTTTCCTGATCTGAAAAATAAAACGCATAGGAAATTGATCGTTTTTCACCCTTTTTGCCTCAGTGTGGCGAAATTTTCCCATCTTAGCATGTGTTATCACAATATTTCTTCTCTAGAGTCAATTCGCTTCCCAAAAAAATATGCAATACGACATGGAAAAGAACACTGAAAATCTATGAAAAACAAAAGTGGCCTTTGAATGCACTAGACAGCAACTTTGGTTAAAAAAAATTAAAAAAAAAAAAGATGTACTTATACACACAGACAGCAAATATTAATTTCATAACTGTTCGAATTAATTATTTCTTTAATTCCCAATTGGTAAATAGTGAATGGGGCAGAGGAGCAAAGATTTCTTTTCCTTCTTCCTACGCTGGATAAACAAGAACAGAAAACAGCCAGTTCTATGTGACCCTCTAATCTTCACTCACACATGCGTGCCTTCTCACTTGTGTCATAACTGCCCGATCTGAAACAGTACATCACAGACGACAGACGCAACCAGAGAGTTCAGGACCGCTGATATCGAGATATCCAGCAACCGACCCTCGTGCAAGAGGAACTCGGAGCGGTTTTCGTCCACTCTGGCCATGGCCAGCAACGCCTTGGCTGCCCTGCACATCATGTCCACGCTAGGTGGCTCCAGGGGGGCGGTCTGCATGTGCATGAGGCTGTGCTGGCTCTGCTGGTACTGGGCCATCGTGACCCCGTCCTCCAGGAAGCTTATCAAGTTTCCAATGCTTCCCTTCTGCACAGCTATCGCCCTCGCGGCTAACGCGTCCCCTTGGGCGAGGTTCGATAGAAGCGCCATGGACATTTCTCGACAGACTGGGTTCTTGCGATCCCCAACGTACCTAACTAACGTAGCATAGAATTTCTCCTGGCGACTGAACGGGGGTGTGGCCAGGATGAGGTCCACGTTGTTGTCCTGGATGCTGAGTTTACAGAGGGTCTCCAGCACAAGTCTCTGAGGTGACAGGACCGAGTTGGGCCCCACGGTTGGAAAGGGGTCTTGTGCCTCTGCGGACGGGCACACCATCCAGTGCAGCAGGCCATCCAAGATTGGCAAGCAGATGCTTTCCGTGTAAGCCGACAAGTCTAGCTGCCCGGAAATGTTGGCCAGCGTGACCAGCGTGTTGTCCCTCAGCACCTCGAGGCAGTCCCACCACCACTCGTCTTTGCTGCAGGCCACCCCCTTGTCCTCGTCTTCCTCCTTCTCGTAGGTCTGTGGGGCTCGCTTCCTCTCAGGGTGTTCGTGGTGAAGGAGGATCAGCTTCCCCAGGATCAGCACCAAGCCCGGATGTTTGGACATCTCGGCATCATTGCCAGGCACAAAGGACAAGCTCCGGACGATGTTGGACACACAGATGCAGCGCTTGGCCAGCGAGTCCTGCCAGTGTGCGATGGTGCACAGGGGCGTCTCGTCGCGGCTCCGCGGCTCGTCCTCCAGCAGCTTGATGTTCCGGTGGCTCTTGGCCTGATGGATGCCGAAGGGAAACTTGCTGCTCTCAGCCTGGTTCCCGGGGTGGGCTTCCTCGGGCAGCGCCCCCGGTCGGGCCGACAGCACGTCATCGATGGTGGCGATGATGCTTTTCTCCTGCTGCTCCTCTGCGTCCCCTTTCCCTTCCTGGTCTTTCTTTCTGCCTGCCGAGCTCAGAGCGGGTGGTGGGCGCCTGCGGGGCGGAATCTCCATCTTGCTCTCGAAGTGCGTCTGGATGTGCTCGGTGGTGTCCCCGCCGCCAAGCTGCCAGTGCAGGAGGCCACTGCTGAACTCCTGCACGCGGCCCAGCCTGTCGGAGCGGTCAACCACAAACAGGTTGTTCTTCTTGACTATCTTTATGGGCAGCTTGTCAAACTTGCTCGCTTGCTTGGGCTTCTCCTTCAGATCGGCAGCGGCGTCGGGAGAGGGGAAAGCCATACTGCTCTTCTCGTCAGCATTGGCCTTCTCACTGTCTTCCTCCTCCTCATCGTCCTCGTCATCGATACATTCAGCGTCTTCCTCCTCTCTCCCAGAATCGTCTGCCAAGGACTGGCTCTCATCCCTCCTCACTGCAGTGTGATCAAGTGCTTTTTGGCTGGGATCTCCCACTTCATATTCCATGAGAATTCCAAAGATGTCGATGAGGCATTTTCTAAAGTACTCTACCAAAAGCTCGAGAAATCCAGACAGCTAGAGAGGAGAAGGGGAAGCAAAGAATAGACATGCTGTCACAATATGGTCTAGGACCGAGGAGGGAGTAATTCCCGACAGGTACCAGTGCATTTTTATGATTACGGTCTCATATGTTTCCATTCCTTTTCAGCTAGGCCAAGAAAGATGAGTACGTCTCAGTGAGAACTAACTCCCTACATCTTACAGTACTAACTAAACCAACATTCACGGTGTTTCTTATTTGCTGCTCACTATGCAAACTCACTATGTACAGTAAAACCTGCGAAAGCTGGAACCATCAGAGGAGGACAACTCAAATATTTTCCACTAAAAGGAGAGACAGAAAAGCGGTAAGACCGCACCCTGTCAAAGGCAAAAACTTGCGAGACCTGGAAAAACAAGGCAGTCCCAGCGAGTTCTGGCTCTCCCAGGTTTCGCTGTATTTTCTGTTTTCTAACGCTACCGACCAGGAGTGCTTGGTGGTTCCTCACCATTTTTTCTGAGTTAGATACAGCACACTCATCATTAGAAGAGTGGGGGTGTGGATTTTATAGACTTGTTCACCCAAAGTGATTCTCTTCTCTTCTATTATTTATTCGACACTTGCTTGCCTGGGTTTTTATGGTTATTATCCTTAGGATTTTATGGTTATTTTTGTCTCAGGTGCCACAGGTTACCCTAATTTACATTCTCCATATATCTTTTAGAGAAGATAATTTCGGCAACGTAGTAGCTCATAAACACTGAAAATTAAAAATAAATCAATTTAGTCCCTGACAAATGAATCAGGATGTTCCATAGAATGCCATTTTTCATTTCAGTTATTCACAACTCCAGCTGAAAGACAAAACTCACTAAGAGAAAGCTATTGCCTCTGAGAGTCAGTTTTGTTTCTTTAAGTAAATGTTTGTATCAAGAAGAAAACAACACTCTCTATGATCAGCAACTACCCAGTCCCTTTCCCCAACACAAACACCACCACATTTGGGGATGACAGAGAATAAGGAATAAAAAGGATTCTTTAACGACAGGCGCTGCGGAAATCAACCATACTTTTATAGCCTAATGTCAGAGTCTTAAACATGGGTTTGAAATAATCACTAAGATGTAAGAGGAAGCCCAGCTATCAACTATAAAGTACTTGCTTTTAAGATAGTGAGGGCATCATCTCTCAAAAGGACGTTTAGGTGTTTCTTTTCCCCTAAAGTTTACTTTTTTTTCAGGCGAAAAGGAGAAATTGACAAAGCAATTCTGATTATGAAAATGTGTGATCAACCAAAAAACAAACCAAACCCGTTGCCATTGAGTTGATTTTGACTCATAGCAACCCTATACGACAGAACAGAGCTGCCCCATAGGGTTTCCAAAGAGTAGCTGGCGGATTTGAGCTGCCAACCTTTTGGTTAGCATTACCCCTAATCTAAGGATGGAAGTTAATTACTTCTAGCAAAATCAAAACCAAAGTCAAACCTGTTACTGCTGAGTCAATTCCGACTCACAGCACCCTACAGGGCAGAGCAGAACTGCCCCATAGTTTCCAAGGAGCGTCTAGTGGATTTGAACTGCCAGCCTTTTGGTTAGCAGCCGTAGCTCTTAACCACTACACAAAGGCAGAATAAATTTCTTCAGTACTTATTTTCTATTAAAACAGACTTCATGCAATGTTTATGACCTTATTAATATGCTTCCAATCAATTGAAAAATTGCCTTTCAGGGCAATAGTGAGGACTTAAATGAGAGAAGGAAGAAAAAAAGGGAGATTCTGGTCTCATTTCCACTGAAGCAAGGAAATTAGGGTTTTTTGCCCCCTCCCCCACCAAGCAGGGTTTTTCATAAACAGTCAGGAAAGTTACCTCTTCTTGTTGTGTTTTTAAGTATTTCTTTAAAAGTCTGCAGCCCAGCTGACCCTTGGGCATTTTTCCTAAATCTCACTTCCCCTTCTCTCTTCTAGCTGTTATGCTGGAAGCTACTTTAAGCCTAGCTCTGAACAAAGGAGGGTTTTAAGCACATTAAAAAGTAGTTGGCTTTTCAACGAGGGCTTCCAAGTAATCTGGAGAGAGATAGAAATGGGTAGAGTAGACCAAACCCATGTTTGGCTATGAGCTGATAACTATTTTAGCTGGACTGATGTGTACAGGGGGGTTCATTAAACTGCTCTACTTTTATACATATTATATATTTTCTATAATATAAAATTTATTTTCAATTTCTTTTTAATTAGAAGAAAGATGTCAGGTCCCCCCTGGAAAGTAGGGTAATGTCCCACTGCAACTTCATTTCTGACACTGTATACAGTCATAGCTTTGTAACATTTTGATTAATTCCCACTGGCCTGCTAATCTTCATTACTAAACAACAATTTAACTTTACTGCTGTCATCTATTCCCAGTCTGTATGTATACAAGCTCATTGTTTTCTTATGAGAAAACAATACACATATATATTAAAGACTGAAGTTAATGCTATCCTAGCCTAAGATTTCAAACAACTATACACTGATTGTTGGTTTAGGACAACTACAATGTTAAAAATGTTAGATGCATCAGTGAGAATTAACTTAGGCATCAGTGCAAGCACTGCGCATAATTTCATTTTCTGATATATTCTACTTTGGTCCTTAATGGGACTGGGGCTGACTTACCTGGGAGAGATTGAAGGTAGCGACAGTGCTGTCATCATATAGGAGAATATTAATAGTGTCCAAAGCCCAAGTACTTTCAGCCAAGAGACCTGATTTAAGGGACATCATCACACGCCATGCCTCAGGAGTTACTAAGAACAGGGAAAAGAAATGAGGATATAATTAATATTAACTCTATGTACGAAAGAATAGAAAACGAAAAGAATAATAAAAAAAAAGAACTGGAGTGTTGGACTGAGTGAGATGTTGATTTTAAGCAAACGCTCTGAGGAACAGTTGAGCGTGGTCCTTTGCAGATTTTCTACGGAGGTAATAAGCTGTGCTAGAAACTTCAGTTGTTAAGATCTTTTGCTTTGTTGGTTAAACAGGTGCCAAAAGTGCTTCTAGAGTGGGAAGGTCAAGCACAAATGGTCCTTTCTCATCTTCACGTTCTCTCTTTTTGCCACCTAAAGGGGTCTGTAATAACATCTCAGAGTTTTTAATAATTGAGTCAAACCCAAAAGTGGCATTTGTCTTCTTTGCCTTCTCCATTCACAAATGTCTCAAGGGGTGTCTCTGGAGGGCTGGCAAGTATGCAGAACGTAAGCCAGGTTTAATTTCAAAACAGCACATCCTTAGATGTAAAATCCTGGTTCCCCATGCTGTTCCAATTCTGTGTGCCTGCCCCAAGAAAATACTGCTGAGAAGTCTCTGCCACCTTGATGGTTCTGGTTTTGCAAGATCTTGGTCTGAGTCAAGGAACAGGAGATGAAAGGGGTGCTGCCACCACCTGCTCCCCCCCTTCCTGATACTGAAGAAAACAAAATGATTACATGAAAAGTTTTTAAGATTTTCATCAGACGGGGCTAGGAGAATAGACCTGTCATGTATCTCAATTTTAGTGGAAGGTGTCTCAAGAATCCTAGCAGAAGCACCTGGTGTACAGTATTAGCTGGGTACAGCAGAGCCCTCTAACCACAACCAACCAAATGGTCTGCAGTGAGGTCCACGAGACCACCGGCCATAATGTGGTTTCGAGAATGGGACTATGGGTTCTTCCACCTTTATCTATTTTTAAAATTTTCTTGGGTAGGTACATATTATTTTTATAATAGAAAAGTTAACTTTCTTTTTAAAATAAGGAATATACATTTCTCTGGGTTGAAGACAAATACTGATATATCACGCACTAAGAAATTAAAAAAAAATCTTTAATATCTTTAACGTCCCAATCACTGCAAATGATTTCAAGTCAAGTGATTTTGAGATTTTCAAAACATTTCTTACACAACTGAGCTCTATTATTTCCTTTGCTGCGTTAAAAGTACTTCAAAAACAATGCAGAAAAATTGTGAGTACTTCCAGCATCCTAAATCTCTAATGAGTATTCAGAACATTCCATATAAGATGGATGAGCGATACCAGCATTCAACTGAAACAGTTCCTTGGCCCAAATCTAACAGTGCTGTCCAGATTACATCAACTCTCTATATAGTATTCAGCTCCTACTTTTTTCTCAGCGAGACTCACTGTCTGTATGTTGTTACCAAAGTTACAGAGTGGCGTGCCTTCAACTGTTCTCAGGTCAGCTTTAGAGTTTCATGAGCCTTCTGTTTACCATGTACTGCAGAGATTAAGTGGCTTGGTTAAGGTCAAACCTTTACACCCAAAATGTAGCATACAATCACTGAGGACTAATTCCCTGACTCCTACCTACAGCTCTGATCCCTCACACACGTAACATCCACACAGAAAAATACCATTTCATTTCAAGCCCTTCCCTAATACTGTTTCTTCATTCAGATTAGTCTTTTCCAATAATTTTTGCTACCTAAGAACATGCCCATCTAGTTTGTAGTCGTAAGAATTTCGTCTCTTTGAGATTAACGGCAACTACCTCTAACCTTGGAAGAAGTGCAACCAGAATGCTCCTTAGAAGCAAGGATGGTGAGACTATGTCTCACATACTTTTGACATGTTGTCAGGAGGGATCAATCCCTGGAGAAGGACATCATGCTTGGTAAAGTAGAGGGTCAGTGAAAGAGAGGAAGACCCTCAAGGAGATGGACTGACACAGTGGCTGCAACAATGGGCTCAAGCATTAAAACGACTGTGAGGATGGCGCAGGACCCAGCGGTGTTTCCTTCTGTTGTACACAGGCTGGCTCTGAGTCGGAAGGGACTCACGGCACCTGACAACAACAACCTCTAACCTAAAATTAAAATTCTAGATTGCATCTGGAATTCACTTCAGGAATAAAATTTTTGGAATGCTTACCAATGTCTTTTGAGGTAATCTTTCGCCTTTGTTTCAAGACTGGCTGTGATGCTTCTACGGAACCAGGAGGAAAAGTGATCTCCCTTCGGATGGGGGGTGGCTGGGGTGGGGGCCCCGTGACCTGTGAGGTGGGGACCGCGGGCATGACCTTCTGCATCTTCATCGAGGGCAGGAAGGGAGACTTGCTTGGTGACATGCGGTTCTCCAGGGAGCGCTGGAAGGACGCGGGGCTGGGCGCCCGGGAGATGTGGTTTGGCAGTGACGGTGGCGTCTGGTAGGACGACTGAGGCGGTCGCGTGATGGGCTGCATGGAGGCTGAAGACGGCATGTAAGGCTGACGGTGGCTGACGTGGGAAGGCCACTGGCTCTCGTGATTGATCCTCTGGTCCGGTACCATCATATCATCCGTGCGGCTCACGCCGGGATAGGGAGGTGCCTGTGCGGGGCCGCCGGGGCCCTGCCGGTTCTGGTAGGGGTAAGGCATATCGTTGCGCGCCGCCCACAGGTTCTGCTGAGGGCCCTCGCCCGAGGCCGCCTGCATGGGGCCGCCCATCATCTGCGGCGGGAGGCCGTGCGCCTGCATCTGCCCGGGGCCCTGCATCCGCTCTCGGTTGTAGGGGTACGGGTACTGGCCCTGGAGGGGCCTCCGGTCTGGCCCCGAGTAGGAGCTTCCGTACTGGCTGTACATCTCCTGCTGCTGGCCGCCGTACTGCATGTTGTACACGTCTCCCTCGTGGCGCTTCGCTGGGGGCCCGTACATACCGTCCATATGGCGTTTGTAATTCTGAAATCCACAGAAAGACAAATCACACTGATGTGCTCCTACGGCTTACTCACGCACACTCTGATGATGCTCGATGGTGATTACCTGGCGGAATGTGCACTTCACAATGAGTATGGGAAGCTCCCCCAAAAGCTAAGGACTAACGAGTTATGTGCTGTGCGTCAGGGTCAGACAGCACCATGCCTCATTCTGAGGAGAGGACTTCAGAAGTGGGTTTTCCTGTGCCTGAAACTTTCTGTGGAAAGAAAGCCCTCCTTCCCTTTCGCCTTCCAGGGCTGCAGTGTTGGGACAGCACTGCTTTGTGGCCACCGCACAGGCGGATGCTGGGTCGAGGCTTGGGGGACACTGGGGTAGCATCAGTAAGGGCAGGAGACCACCCCTCAGGAATGGACTGGGAACTCTGGAGGCAGGCAGGGAGGTTCCTGGATGAAATGGATTTGGCACCTCAAACTGGACCAGTGTTCCCTGAAGCCCAATAGTCTAGGGGCACCCCACCCCCCACTTCTAGCTTAGTTCAGGTCAGATTCTCCCAGGAATGCCCTGCGCTGGTCCCGGCTTCTGGGGACAGGCTGGGTGCAGCACCTGTCACTGCCTCTCCTCCTTGTGGCACTCGGGGCACCAGCACATAATCTGGGTGGCAGGGCTCTTCTGACCCGAGGGAGGGAGGTGCCAACGTTTTCAGTACTATTTTATCACTCTACCTTAAACATTGTTTAAAATCACTTACAATTGAGAGTATATATATGCGCCTGTGAAATCAAATAAATGTTTAAAACTGCTTTGTGGTTTAAAAAATCTTAAAAAAAAAAAAAAAAAAATCCATTTGCAAGAGGTCTCCTGAAAAGTTTAGAAACAGCAATTCCTCTGGGCCTGGAAAGCCACACCCAGAGGGGCGATTCTCTCCATCAGTACCGATAACAGGAAGCAGGGGCCTGGCACGACAAAATCTCAGAGAGCTGCCTATGAGCCAGTATAAATTTGGCCTCATCAGTTTAAAAAACAAACCCAAACTAGGTGCCATGGAGTCAATTCCAACTCATGGCGACCCCATGTGTGTCAGAGTACAACTGTGCTCCACAGGGTTTTCAAGAACTGATTTTTCAGAAGCTCCCCCGGCCTTTCTTCCAAGGTGCCTCTTCGTGGACCAGAACCTTCAAATCTTTTGGTTAGCAATTGGACACTTAACCATTTGTGCCACGCAGGGTCAAAATACGTTGTTTTTAATATTTTATTTTTAAAAATCCAATTAACTTTAGCTATTAGTATATAACATTTTAAGCTGCTTTTTCTACATGTCCGCTTTAAAACATATTTGATACAACAAGACACACAATTGACACAATCAAACTGAACTTAGCACAGGCTTGTTATTATTTACAAGGCTGAATGTACTGAACTTAGAGGCTGCTAGGAATGTTACATTTGATTCAGGATACCCTTTAGCAGGAGCAATTTTTAATTTGCTGACTTCAAAATCCCAAGGAGTATTTTCTAACACTAAACAAATACATCCTGAAAGTTCAATAAATGCTAGTTGTTTTTGTTACACTTCCGCAAATCTTCAGAAGTACAATAAGTCCGGATTTTAGCCTCCAGGAGAAAAGCAGACAATGAAGGGATCCCCACCCACTTGCCAACTCACCGGCTGCTGTGGATACAGTCCAGGCTGGTGGCCTCCATATGGGGGTTGTCCTGAGGGAGGGCCTTGGCCTGGATACTGCTGCCCGTAAGGTTCATGCCTAGAACGAGGCATTCAAAGAAAACTTAAGTTATGAAGAGCTTCCGGCCAGCGGAGAAACAAACCATCCATTTCTGGAAGCCTCATATCCCTAAACTTCTCTGTCTTTCCTCCACAATACACACTTTCTAACCGAGACACACCTAGCAGAAGCACCAACACTTTAACTTTAGCAAAAGGGATGGGAACACCCATTTCAGGGAACACTGGCAGGCCCCTGGTTTGGGCTGCTGGTTAATAGGAGTCAGAGGAATACCGGTTGAACAGGCAGGCATCCTGCAAACATTCCTCAGATCCTCTGCCTCTGAGGCAGAAGCCTGGCCCATCTCACCAAGTTCCCATTAGGAAGCGTTCTTCAACATTCTGATGTGAGGTGTTAGTGAGAGCAAGACAAAGCAAAAGGAATCTGAGAACCAAGGGCATTTTCCCTAAAAGCAGTACCAGGGCATGGACATATAATTATGGGAAGTGATCCCGCTTCTCACTTCTTTGTCCTGAATGTAAAGGTCTGATTTTTAAAAGCTACACTTCAAAATTAATTCACATGATACTGAGTTAGCTAATACCTGTACCTGTTGCTCTTGAGTCAATTCCGACTCACAGTGACCCTGTGGGACAGAGTAGAACTGCCCCATACAGTTTCCAAGGAACAGCTGGTGGATTCGAACTGCCGACCTTTTGGTTAGCGGCTGAGCTCTTAACAACTGTGCCACCAGGGCTAATAGCGGTACAGATATAAGTACTCAAAATTTCAAAGTCCTATGACTCTAAAGGGCTACAGGAAATAACAGGGATGACTGAAGAGTGCTATTACATCTTAAAACAGGAACGAACAATTTTTCAACTGCTACTACATTGAGAAATTACAAATACCATGAAAAGTAGCGTATTTAGAAGGATAATGGATTTGCAATTTTGAAAAAATAAACTAATTTAGAATCTTGTAAGAAGGAGCACAGTTGGCCTGAACATATTCTTCAGCTGATCAAGGAATGAGAATAAGAACAAATGAATGTTTAGAATATCCCATGTAAAGCAGATATAGAGGAAGTTTCCTCTAACTACGCTGGTATCTAGAAAGACGTTTACAGTTAGGAGGAAGGGACTTTAACTGACACAAATAAAATTTAAGCTGAATAAGAGGAAATACTTCTCCGAAGAGAAAACTTAACCATGAGGTAAATCCATCTTTCTCATGTGATAAAGTCAAAACAACTATTAAAACTAGGTCACACAAAGTTCTAGAAAGCATACCAGAAGAAACAGAAAAGTATCAGCTTGGGTTCCTTTCAGAATACATACCCCAGTACAACTTACTCCTTCTAAACTTTCAGCCAAAAAAAAAAAAAATCAACAGCTTTTACTAGACCCTCAAAAACACCAAACCTGAGTGCACTAAACACTGCGTAATGGTTAACTAGTTAAGTCAGATAACTGATAAATATTCACTACAGCTACAGCCAGTAGTAAGAATTAGAAGAGTAAAGCCTTAAGTCACTATTAACTAAACGCCATTGAATTGACTCCAACTCATAGAGACCCGTGTTAGAGTATGCAAAACTGTGCTCCATAGGATCTTCAACAGCTGATTTTGCAGAAGACTGCCAGGTCTTTCTTCCGAGGTGCCTCTGGGTGGACTTGAACCACCAACCTTTTGATTACTAGTTGAGCATGTTAACTGTTTATACCACCCAGGGACTCCAAGTCCCCATTAGAAGATAACCATGTCACCTCAAGCACTGGATGGCTGTGTATTCTCAAAAACCAGGCTCACAGAAGATGCTACATAGAAACCTTATTTGGTAAAACAGTGACTTTTCAAACTTTTTTTTCCCCTTGTATTAACCCAGTGAAACCTCTTCCTTAATAAAACCCTTCTGTCTGACCCAGCATGGGAGATTGATGAGGGGAGGGGCCCAGACTGAGGCACCCCCCGCAGCAGCACCACTGCGGCCTGGATTTGGAAGGATGTGATCCCCAAGGCAGCGCTGCGCCGGGGGACGCCGAGCGCGGCCCCTGTGCCGGGGGACGCCAAGTGTGCCCAGTGAAGAGAAGAGCCTCTCTTGTGCCTCCATTTATTGTTCTTTAAACCCCACAAATATTAAAGGCTTTTGCTTCTAAGCGTTTCTCTTCTTGGGAGATAAAGAACAGACAAAGGGGAGGGGTTTTTGTAGCACTGGAACCTGAGCCATGGGCCAGGGGCCTTCTTCACAGAAAGTTCACCCTGAGACGCTACTGCAGGAAGCAGTTTTTGGACCACCTCTCAGTCACATTTCAGCGACTTCCCTTTTACTGAATCAAAATACGTGGTGTCAGTACGGCCGCCTTCTTAGCAATATGGTGTCGGGGTGACCTCCCTGCCAGCCGCTCCAGGGGGCCTGAGCTGTGATGTTCCTCGGTGTGTATAAATTGTTCATAGGGAAGAGTGAGGACACCTTAAAAGGCAAGGCCTGGAAGACCCTGGCAGGCACTCTCTGCACCTTGAGCCTGCTGAGAGCTGGGAGCAGCTACCACTGCACACATCCCCGAGACAGAAACTGCGAAACTGAAGAATCCCTGGCAGCTCACAGAAGGAGATGTCTGGACCCTGGAGCTCGCCAAATCACTGCTCGCACCCCAGAGGGAATTCTAGTGCTCTGAGGACGTCTCTCACAGGGAGAAGCCTCCTGCCCGGCCCGGCCTGCCCGGCCAGCCCCAGCATATTTCTAACTTGTGCTTTTGGGTATTCGGTTATAGAATACAGCTGCACCTGACTGCCCAGGACAAGGTCCCTCCCATCCTGTTACCCCCTCTAGCTCACACTTGTTCACCAACAGCAACCACCTCTTATTGTGCCAGCAGGAAAGCAGATGTGAGGTTATCACTGGAGACCCAGCTACCAGGGCTCAGAAACGTGTGTGAGAAAAGCAGAGTTCCCGTGACATTGTCTCATTGCCACCTCAAGGCCACTCACCTCCGGTCGTAACTGGCTCCGTAGGGGAACTGCTGCCGCTGGCCCATGCCCAGGTTGGACATGGCCCCAGAAGGACTCTGGTTATACATGTCCTGCATGCTGCTATTGGGCATCTGTCCTTGCGTCATAAAGGGCTCACTACTCCCAGGCACTGCAATATTTTCAATAAAAAATGTAAAATTAAGCATTTTTTAAAGACAAAGGACCCAAAGATCCCTTCTAATTTCTGTGTTTTTTTTTAACACATTGTATCATATCCTAGATATGGCAGACAATAATACTAATGAAACAGCACAGTTCTGGTGTCAAGACGGGGCCTATGATTTCCGGTGTGCCCCCCCTACTCCTGGCCAGGTACACATGCCTGGTATAAGCTCCTTCCCTTGAGTGTGGCAAGAACCTGTGAGTTTGATGGGACATCACTCTCATGATGATGTTACACTATATGACAAAAGGGATTTTGCAGATATACTTCAGTTTACTAACCAGTTGACTCTGAGTTAACCAAAAGGGAGACTCTCTGGGTTGGCCTGACCTAAGCACATGAGTCCTTTAAATTTGGGTCTAGAGGTTAGAGGTGGAGTAAGTCAGGGACATTCCCATTTCTGCCATGTTGTGGAGAGGGACCCAAGTCCAGAAGGGCAGGCAGCCTCTAGGAGCTGTGGATGGACCCAGACAACAGACAACAAGGAAATGGGAACTTCAGTCCTACAACCGTGAGGAACTGAATCTTGCCAACAACCTCACTGAGCTTGGAAGAGGACCCTGAGTCCCAGATGAGAACCACAGCCCCAGGTGACACTTTGAGTTCAGCTTTGTGAGACCCTGAGCAGAGGACCCAACCACTGACCCACAGAAAACTGTGAAAGAATGAATGTATGTTGTATAAAGCTGCTAAGTTTATGGTGATTTGTTATGCAGTCACACAGAAGACTAACACGGGCCCAGATCCATTACTTACTTGGAGAAGCTACTCAATGTCCAAGTTTAACTCCTTGTCTAAAAGGAGGTGGGTGACACCATCTCATGGGTAGTTGTGAGGAAGAAATAAAACACTGCATATAAAGTTAGTTCCTCCCCTCAGAGAGAGTGACAACCTGAACACAAACACCCGCCCACTGTTTCACTCCACAATCAGGGAAGAGAAAATAACTAGGGAGTAAGAATAGCTCAACATGGGATGAGACACAACTATTTCTAGCAGAGAGTGGAAAGCCAGTTAGGTCAGATACGCAAATCTGCATCAGCTCAGAACCAGAAGGAAACTGGGTCAAGCCCAGAAACTAGCCTGGAGGCAAATTAAACATTTTAATATAAATTCTAATTGATACACAGTACCACTACCTTTCCTCAGTCTATGATGGTCATTTTATGTTATATGAGGCCAAAGCTGATTAAAGTTCTGTGAGCTGATAAAATTTGTTTGGCTGACAGAGGAGCATCAACAACAAAGCTAAATACAGGTACAAGGTGTTTTCCTTTTCAATGTGCTTTCCTATATTTCACCTTATCAATCTCATATCAACCTGAGGTAGAGTTAGTTTTGATGTTAATTTCCATTTTACAGAGGTGAAAACAGAGACAGATAGAAATTAAGGGACATAATTAAAGTTAAATAGCTTAATTCCCTAATATACAAAGAGTTCTTAAAAATCAATAGGAGAAGAGACAAATTAAAAAATGGGCAAACACATTAATGGACATTCACAGAATAAGAAAATAAATGGCCTATCAACATATGAAAAGATGGGTAACCTCACCAACAATTAAGGAAATCCAAGTTGAAATAATCACCAGGCTTAAAAAAATGTTTTTTTTTTTTTTGCCAATCTGACTGGCAAATATTAAAATGATTCATAATCATTATTTCTAAGGAACTGAGGGACCACGCACTCCTACATACTATTGTTCAGAGTATTAAATAGGTGCGACTTGTGGCAATACCTACAATGACTGACTAAACTTTGGCAATACCCAAAGATGCACACCTCCCGATAGCCATAGCCCTGTGAAGGCCCCTCTTCACAATGACTTTGGGCTTGGCCATGGGACTAGCTTTTTTCTTTTTTTTTTAATTTGTTGTTGTTGAAAATATACACAGCAAAATATACAGCAATTCAATTTCTGCAGGTACAATGCAGTGACACTAATTGCATTCTTCAAGTTGTACAACCTTCTCACATTCTTTCTCTGAGTTGTTCTTCCCTCATTAATGTAAACTCCTCGCCCCCTAAGTTTCATGTAACCTTTTGAGTTGCTGTTGCCTTTGATCTCTTATAGTTCTTTGAAAGAGCACGATGCTCAAAGCAGACATTCTTTAGTAATTAAGATAGCCTACTGTTTGGTTTAAAGAGGACTTCAGGGGATATTTTGGTTTAAGGTTTAAAGATTATCTCAGGGCAATAGTTTTGGGAGTTCATCCAGCCTTTATGGCTACAGAAAGTCTGGATTCCATGATAAGTTTAAATTCCGTTCTGCAATTTATCCCGTTTTGATCAGGATTCTTCTATAGAATCTTTGATCAAAACATTCAGTAATGGTAGCTGGGCACCATCCAGTTCTTCTGGTCTCAGTGCAAAGGAGGCATTTTATGGGACTAGCTTTGACCAGTGGGAAACTTGATAAGCACTTGCAACTTTTAGACTCTTGAGCTCAGGTGTTTACTATATGTCCTGCAGGATACTTGGAAAACTTTGAAAGGACAAATATCGATTATCTTGCTTCATGCAACAGATATCTTATTGAAATATTAGAAATCTAATTCGTAAATTAAATGGTATAGTCCCAATATATAAATTTTTGAGATTATTTTTGTCATTGGTCCGTAACACTGGAGGAAAGCAAAGTTTTGGGCTTTATGTTTCTCTCTATTCAGATGATATACCAAGAAATTCACGTACCCCAAATACCTAAATATAATGGAGGCACTGTTATTTAAGGGATCCTAGAAAAAGTACTTCCATAAAAATATTATTCACTATTTTTCGTTCAATAATATTCATATCAAGTCTCAATTTTGCAGGACCCAACTGTATTTGAAAATGTCAAAAAGCAGAAAAACCAAGTTTCTGCTTGGAGCTTGTAGGCCCTGGGCAGTGGCTCACATAGGTTAAACCTCATGCTAACTAAACGCTGGGCATTAATAAGCATAAAGTGAAAAAGCCACCCTGGGTGTGTTTCCTAATGTCAGTAAGAAACTCCCCTGGACTCTCTCGCAGATCTTATCCATCCCACGGCTGCGAATGCCATCTCCAGGCTCAGGACTCCGAAGTCAGACCTACCTCCAGCCCTGGGCTCTGCTCCAGACACACAGTCCACCAACTACTCCACACCTTGACAGACCCCAGAGCCGACTCTTGATCTCCCTCTCTACCTGTTTCTTCCCCAATGTCCACACTGCAGGTAAGGACATCTTCACCCACTCAGTCAGTCATCACCATGTTTTCTTCTCCCTTTACCCCATGTTCAATCCACAGCAAGTCCTGTCGTTTCTGCCTCCAACACACGTGATGAACTGTTTCACTTCTCCTCCTGCTGGGGTCCTTCTCCAACTCAGCCTCCCTCTCCTAGGCTACTGCCATGGTCATCTCGTGGTCTCCCCAGTTCTCCTCTTACTGTCCCCAGTACATTCTCCACAGGTGGCCAGTTATATTTTTACAAAACAATTAGCCCTGCCATGTCCCTGCATAACACCTTCCACCTAGGGTCAACCCCAAACTCATCAACATCTTAGAAAGGTTGGAAGGCCCCAGCCCGACTGTGGGGTGGCCCCACCTGGTCCCACTCTGGCACTGCTCGTTAAGCTCCAGCCACTTTTCAATTCCTCAAACTTGGCGCATTCTCCCCCAAACCTGCCGCCCTCCCATGGCTGGCTCCTCACTCTTTAGGTCTCTGTGGGTAACTGCTACCTCCTCAGAGCCCCTCCCTCCTGACCACCCCATCTAAGTAGGGTGTCCTTCTTCCCAATGCTCCCCACTCAACGGCATTACCGTTTGTTTCCTTTCTATTGGTTTCTACTTAGTTCCTTTCTTCCTCTAACCACAATATTTAATGTTATATTTGTGGTTTAACTTATTTTTCTTTGTTTTCCCCCCAGGAAACTGTCAACTCCATGAGGGAAGGGACTGGCTAGCACCAGCACTGCGCCTGACCCAGGCTGACAGGATGGTGCTGCTGGCTGACGGAACTGAGGGCAGGTGACTCACTGTACATGCCTGCCTCCCTTCCAGGAACTTCACGTGCACCCACTTGAAACTCACAGCACCCTTTCAGGCAGGTCCTATTATTATCCCAATTTCTAGATGAGGAAACTGAGGCACGGAGATGCTAAGTAATTTTCCCAAGGCTGTAAGTTTAGTAGGTCAGGAGCCGGGACCCTAGCCACGGCACCCAAATGTGTTCTGGGTGGACTGGCTGTAGAAGGGCAGAGGGAGAATGCCCTCTTGACCCAGCCCGTGGAGAGGTCCCTCTGTGCATACCTTTTCTCATTCCACCAAAGGGGTCCTTGTTGGGCTCGTAAGGCATCCTGCCCATCATGTCTGGCATGCTCATGCCCTGCTGGTACGGGGCATTCGGAGTCATGGAGTTCCGTTTTGGGAACGACGAGTCACTCACGTCTGAGAAGGGGTCATGCACGCTGATTGTACTGCTTCTGAAGGGATGCAACAGTGACAGCTTAATGATAAAGGCAGGAGTTACCTCCAAACGCTGTGTTCAGAAAGTAAACCAGACCTGAACTTGGTAAATGCAGAAATCATCCAAGATAAACGAGATGGGTACGGCAGTCGTAATCAGCATGTAAACACTCACTAGGGAATACCATTTCCTCTCTCCAGAAAGTCTGCTCCAGGAAATCATGCAGTATGCTCATCTGGTTTCGTGTGGCTCTGCGCTCCCCTGACATACCTGCCACCTTGCATCGGGGTCATCTGTCCATGGGGGGTGGAGGCTGGCGTTGGTGGCTTCAGGTCACCTGGAACCTCCGCCATTGAGTTACTGCCAGTTGATTGCGGGGTCTGTGGACCTTGCAAGGATCCTGAGTTAGCTGATAACCGAAAAAAAAAAGGGGGGGCGGGCAGAAAGCTGCCAGTTACCAACGGAGCTAGCCCATCCTTGCTAATCACTGGGGAAAAAAAAGAATTAAAACAAGGCAGCATCTTATTAGAAATAGTAACAATATGCATTGCTCATAACAATGTAGTAATATTAGTTGCTCTTACATTGTTTACAGTGAAAATTAGTAAATGCTTTTTTTTTAAGAAAACTATTTGGCAGCACAATTCATTTGTGGACCATAAAACACATGTATACCTTTTGACTGGGTAATCGCTTTCCTGGGTATTTATCCCAAGAAGATAATCTAATAAAAAGAAGGATAGAGGCAGAAAAATGTTTGTTCTGTTTTGTTTATATTAAAGATAGTCTAGATGTCTAAGAGTAAAGAAAAATGGGTGAAAATCTTGGTGTATCAATTTGATGAACTACTGTGCTATTTCAGAAAAACAAAACAAATTAGAAAAATTAGCTCTGGGTCCTAGGCAATGATCAATGCTAGTTGCAAGCAATGATACAAATTAATAAAGAGCCTTATGTCATCTCAACACCTCCTAAAAGTCTGTAGGTGTCTGCATTCTGTCATTAATGACAAGGTCATTTGGGGAGTTATGAAATTCAGACTTGTTATTATAAATACACAGGCCATACTGGTATGGTGTTCTTTAATGCTGTTATCAGAGTTCCAAGATTTGGCTTTAACTATAATTACACAGAATAACAGAGTTCCAAATTTAGCAGATTTTTTCAACGTTTAAGTGGGAATCCTGAAAAAATTAATTAACCTCACCTCATAGGAAAAAAAACCCCAACACTTTAAAGGTTTCTGCTTTATTATCTATCATAAATAAAAAAAAAACCCAAACCCAGTGCCATCGAGTTGATTCCGACTCATAGTGACATTATGGGACAGGGTAGAACTGCCCCATAGGGTTTCCAAGGAGCAGTTGGTGAGTGCAAACTGCCGACCTTTTGGTTAGGAGCTGAGCTCTTAAGAACTGTGCCACCAGGGCTCCATCATCTATCACAGTCATTAGCATATTAGGTGTTCAATAGGTATTGGTTTCATTGATTAATTAAATAGACAATACTTACGGAATGAATAACGTGTCCACTATAGTCTGGCCTCTTTTCTATGACCTGATACTCCAGTGTACTAAACTGACAAGACAAAAATCCCTGTCCTCATGGAGTTTACAATAACATACCTTCTGAACTATAAGGACTGGAAGAATCACTGGCTGCTTGTAAGTAATAACATTGTACACTTAGAGTGCCTTTCATTAGAAGCTTGCAAGGCTCTCGAAGATTGCCATTACTCACATTTTACTTTAGAGGAAACTGAGGTTAAACAAATCCCTAGAGATTACAGAGTGAGCTAGGAAGGAGTCTGACATTGAAATGAATACACATCACTTCTACTCAGAGAGCTTCAGCTACACACAGATCTTTCTGCGAGATTCGTCCTGCCCAGGCCTGGCCGGTGGGGACCAGATGTTGGAACGGCTGGCCCACAAAGCTGAGTACTCACTGCCAAGTCCGAGCCTGTGCCCCCAGGCCCAGAGTGATTCAGGGACATCCTCAGAGATGTTGGGAAGATGAACTTTGAAGGCAGAGACCTTTTAGAAAAACTTATTAACTCATGCTTACAAACTAAATGTTGGCGAAACCGCGAAATGCATATTAAAAGTGGGTGACAATACAAGAATAGAGTTGTCTTCTACAGCTGTAGAAAGATAATCCCGCAGACAAGACTACTCCAGAGCTGGCAGAAGGGGGGCAACTGGCTTCCCAAATCCTACACTGTAACAGAATCCACCCAAGGGCCCTACTCCCCAGGAGGCCTGGCTCCCAGGTGGGGGTCTCGGAATGACCCTCATTTACAACTATTCACTTTTACAGCTAATTAAAAAAATGGGAGAAGTTTTCCCCCGTGCCAGTGTTTCTTCCTGTCTTTTCAGGAAAAAAATGAGCGCAGCCTCTGGAAAGTCCATTCACAGAGGCACTGGGGCTCTCTGGGATATCCCCGCCTTCTGCCAGAAGCTACATATGTATGCTCTGAAGTAAACAATGGAAGGTTCCCTAGGTTAAGCACATTCACACACTTTAGATGGGCAGCCAGACTCCTTGCTGGGAAGAGGATTTACCACAGTGGATCTGGTGCCTGGGTTCTGGCTGGGGTTTCCTGAAGGTCGGGGTGGGGGGCGGGGAGCCTGGTATGTCCCCAGGCTCCAGCAACCAGAGGTCAATCTGAGGGCACCTTTGTTTACAACCCGATCCCCTTTCTCATTTATCTTCCATGGAGGATTCCCTAGCTGGATCCCTGACAGGTTCTGTGACATCACTTGTCAGCTAATAATAGAAATCCAGTCAGCCACCTGCCAGCAAAGATGGATGGGTTTTTGGTTACAGATGCACTCACTGAATGCCCCTCCCCAACCCCGCCGCCAAGGCGACTTGAGAGTCCAGGCCTGCCTGGCTCCTGAGGACTCCTCCACAGACCTGACAGGGCCCCTACAGATGCAGACCACACCCAGGGCCAGGCGTGGGCTGCCTCTGGGAGCCGCAGCTGGCTGACTGGAGTACTCTCCTCACCAAAAGACAGGGACCTGGAGCTCGGGGTGACTCCTCCCTGCAGGGCACAGAATTTACTTTTAGATCCATATTAGGAAAAAAAAAAAGAAACCCCAAACCAGATGCCATCGAGTCGCTTCTGACTCATGGGGACCCCATGTGTGCCCCGTAAAACTGCTCCATAGGGTTCTCGAGGCTGTGACCTTCATGGAAGATCACCAGGCCTTTCTTCCAAGATGCCCGGGGGTGGGTTTGAATGCCTACCCTTCAGTTAGGAGTCGAGCGCTTACCCGTCTGCACCACCCAGGGGCACTAGATCCATATTAGTCAAACCAGAACTGGGATCGAGGTGGGTGACTCAGACGCTCTTAGAATACAGCCATGGGGTTAGCTGGTTCATAGAGACTGTTTAAAACAAGTCTAGAATGTTTCTTAGAAATCTTTTAGTTTAGCTTGCTTGTACATGCCTGTAAGCACGTAAACTCCAATTATGTTCTCTTGGGAAAAACTGACTTCAAAGAACACAAATTTTTGCTGAAAATTAAGTTTTTAAGCTCACACACAAAATGTAACAATCTTTGTTGGGATGGGAGGGGTGGGGAGGAAATACTAAATAGGCAACAGATAAGTGGTATCTTGGGTGAAGGGTGAGATAGTACACAATACAGGGGAAACTAGCACAACCTGTACAAGGAAAGGTCATGGAAGCCCCATAGACACATCCAAACTTCCTGAGGGACTGAGTTGCTGGGCGGAGGGCTCACCATGGTCTCAGGGAACATCTAGCTCAATTGGCATTGCACAGCTTATAAAGACAATGCTCTACATTCTACCTTGGTGAGTAGTGTCTGGGGTCTTAAAAGCCTGTGAGC